AACTGATGTATTTAAATAATAATTACTTTTTCCGTTCACCGTCGTGCACTAATTTGGCCGCCAATCCGAAATCACCAATCTTGACTTGCAAATCGTCATTCAAAAACAAATTGCCTAATTTTAAATCCCTGTGAATTATTTTGTTCTGATGCAGATAAAAAACTCCATCTAAAATTTGCTTCATAAAGTATCGTGTTTCGCATTCCGACAGCGCTTTCCTGCGCTTGTGCAGTTCCATCATCGACTATAATATTAAACAATTATAAGACTGTCATAATCGGCACTTGATATTCGCAAAGTAGATATTGTTATAAATGATTACCCTCTTGCGACAGAGTTCCAGGATGATGTAAATATTTTTGTTATCGTCGAAGAAGCCGTGAAAGCCAACGATGTGCCTGTGATTCAAGCTCTGGTGAATCGCAATCTCTTGTGTCATTTTCTCTCTTTGATTGTGTTTCGCCATCAGTGACATTGGCACGATTTTCCCCGCGAATACCTGGTGAGACTTTGACTCTGTGATTTCGTAACATTTTGCAAATCCACCCTATAAAGTAATAGACATAAAATCAAACAAAGAAAAAAAAATTATAAAAATTACAAAAAGAAAGAAAAATAAAAAGAAAAAATTATAAAAATTATAAAAAAAGGAAAAAGCAAATTTCTTTTTTAAAAGAAAAAACTAATATTTTAATTAAACTAATATTTTAATATTTAACTAATATTTTAATAAAAATAATTTTCTGCACGTAATTGTATTTTAATGATCTGAGTAATCCATATATATGTATATTTAATGTTTATTTTTAAAAATTTATAACTCAAAGAAATTCATAAGATAACATTTTATTCACTTATGCCACATATTTTAATATACATGTATAATTTAACATATATATATATATATATTAGGTGTTGGAATTAATTCGTAGCGTTTTTAATGAAAGAATGTTATTTATTTCACATGAGCATTAAAAAATACATTAATGAAAGTACTTCCCATCACTTGTAAAACGCTACGAATTAATTCCAACACCTAATATATATATATATATGTATATATATATAACATTTTTAATAAGAAAAGTGTTTAAGTAATCCTTCATAAAATTTCCTCAGTTCTCTAATATTCATTTTTATCAATGTAAATTAATTTTAATTTGGGTTTAACTTTTTACTGTTCTAGGAATTAGGGAATGGAAATAACTGTAATTTGTTATTTTTAAAAAATAACTTTCCATTCCCTGCTAAGAATTACAAAGAGATAAGTTAAACTAAAAGATTAAAATTAATCTAAATTGGTAGAAATAGAAAATATTTAAGTACACATGATAAAAAAATATAATTAAGTAATCTTCTTCCATAGAACTTCTTCAATTTTGTGATGTCAATCTCTACAAAGATAATAATTAATCTTAGTTTAAAAGCTAGACTTATACTCTTCATTTCTTTTCTAATACTAGAAAGAGATAAAAAAAAATAGATAAATTAAAGTGACTAACATGAAGCTGCTTTCCTTTTAGGAAACAAATATATCTTATCTATGTTATTTATTGAATGCCAAAAAAGACAGAACGACGTTTGTGTCAGCTATGTCTCCTCTAAAAAGTAACCTGAATTGGTAGAAATGAACTCAAGTTAGAGTATCACTTTCAATACAAATATAGAGTTCCTAAAGGGAAGCTGAAATAATCTTTCCCAAATGTTATGGCTTCTCTTGCAATTACGAATCATCTCAAGTCTCGCATCCTCGGCATCAGTGCAACAAGTGTCGAACGCCGGAGGATCGTGTTTACACATACATATATGTGTGCATGTGTGTATGGTGTGTGTATATACACACATATATATATATATACATATATATATACACACGCATTGCGAAAATCGCGAGGAATGCGATAGCGCGATGGATAAGATAACATTTGTGCATTTTTTATAATAGAAATTTTTTAAAGTCTGTTAACTGCAAGACAGAGAGGTCCTCCAATCTCCATCTTACAGCCAATCAACGGGTTTGAAGTCGTACAACAAAAACGCACAAATGTAATGCTATCATGACTGAGAAAGGTCAAGGCGAAGGCAGCTCAAGGACGCAACGATCGTTCATTACCTTCCCAAAGAACCGGCCCTTAATGTAACTCTTGCCGGTGTTCTTGTCGTATATCACGTTCGGTATAGTGTTCTCCTCCTCATTCGACATCATGCAACCGATGTAATCACAGTGGTGAACAAACCCGCTGTCGTATCACCGTCGAACGTGATGATATTATTCGATGATGCCGTGTGTGGTTATCAGACAGACACGTTTTGTCGCTGCTACGCCGTGGCCGCTGTCGTGTCGTCGGTCCCAACCTGCGCTTTTGTCCCCCCAAAATCACGTTATCGGCAATACCGGCCGGCAGAGATTCGCGCGTTTATCGTATACTTCAATGACCGATGCGCACTGCTTTACGTTATGCCCGATCGGTTCTCAATTCTATTCTCGATCTTCCGTGTCCGTGAGAAAAAGAACCGCGGTGAGGATGTGACGGGAAGGAGCAAAAGAAGAGTGAACAGCCGTGAGCGCGACACGCTACCGTACCGTAGGAACACCCACTGAATTCGCTGCTCACCGTACTTCTGTTCAATTCAAACCGCCTAGCACTCACGGTCACGAAAGACGTGCAACGCCAACGGCTCGCCGGTTTAAATGACGCATAACCGACCAATCGCCGCGCGCGCCTGCTGAGTCACGTGGCTCGGCGATGCGGAGCATTACCAGCCATCTTTCCCCAGAGAAGGCAGGCTAGGGTTTTTTCTTTATTTTTGTGCTTAGCTGCCTGCGTTAAAAAGACTAGCGCGCAGCGCGCCAGACATTCTCGGTTTTCAAACTTTGACTGTAGAAATCTGGACTGCTAGCAGCAAAATCAAAATTTACGTGTAATGAACATGGAAATGGCCTAATTTCCATCGAGAGTTTAAATGGATCAGAATGTAAGAACCAATTACAGTTGAGCATTCCTCTGTCGTTCGACTGTAACAGGGGAATTCGACTGTAGTTGGGTGATTCTTAGGCTGCATTTTCATGCTGACACTCGACGCTCGATTCGAGCGGCAAAACAGGTCACGTGATCAAAATTGATGCTTGGTATTCGTAAATTTTTCTGATCCAGTTCAAACCTTCGATGGAAATTAGGTCAGTGGACTCAACAGTGGACAATTGAGTGAGCGCTACTATTGGTTCTTTTAAATCATCCAATCAGCATTTTAGATCTGGAACTGAACGTAGCCAATGTCATCATGCTCCTTTCTCAAGAATTAAAAGTGATCTTAATTTTTAATTTTGTTGAACTATCAAAATAATTATGTATAAAATGCTTAAATTAAGCTAGTTACTTATAGAATATCAAAATTCTTGCAGTATTGCTTATTGTACTTCAGATTTCTACATTAATTATTTTGATTGTCCAATTGATTGGTGCGAAACGATGATGCAAAGCAAAGCACTCATTGGACATTGCTCATCGCTCATCGTTCATCGCGTCCAGTGTGCAATAGGCATTAGGATATATCCATACAAACTTGCATAACAATATTTTTTACGCCACTATAAAAATCGCCTCGTTGATTAGTTGCTGCTTCTGTTACTTGATGTTTGCATAATACTGAGTTTGCATAATACATAGTACCTTAATACTGGCATTAATTAAAAAGAACGGGCTCGAGAAATGAGCCTTCCTACATCAAAAATATTGTATCTTCGACATTATTATTATAATAAATTGATAATATAATATAATAATAAATTGATTGATTGTATATAATAATAATACGTGTACGTAATACAAAATTTATTATACAATGGACTTATATAAATTTCACCATTAAAGATTACGATACAATAACATGATGATTTACTATAATTTGCTATACATTTTTCGATGTGTCGTATGTATACATATATATACCCTGGGCCTTCAGTAAATAAATTACTATAAATAAATATAGAATGCTGCTGGTGATTGGAGCCCGCGGTTGGCAGCGGATGCGAGTAAATGATGTGAGTTGACTCATGCAGTCCTTGCAAATCAATTCTTCTTTTTCCGTTTAATGCTGCGAATTGGATGGACAAATCGCTCCGGATTATCATGCGCGTGCGTGATACGTCATTGAACACGTGATCAGTCTCAGGCTCGTACTAACGTTACGTGGAATGTCTTTCTCTCGCTCTATATCTATAAATTATTAATACTGTTTACATCAATAATTCACGTACTATTAACGTTATTTTTTATGTCAATAATTAAGTGTTATATGTGTTAATTATTCAATTTAATCAACGTGTGTGTATTATATGTAAAGAAATTTATTAATCGGGTAAATTAAAGAATAAATTTTATCTTAATGTTATTATTACAAATTTAATAGTTTTCATCTCATGTTCTTCACAGATATAAATGTTATTATTAACTGATGATAAATAAAAAATATCTAAATTATTTCAGATTTTATAAAATTTTACACCAGAAATTATAGAATAAAAAATCTTAGAAATCATAGATCAGAATTTACATACATGAAAAATTTTAGAAAAAAATTAGACTTGAATCTCTAGACGCTTTTGAAAAATTTAAATTTAATTTGTATAAAATATCAGAGAAATTTTCGAAAAAGTAAGAGAGAGTATTTAAGAGAGTATTTAAAAGTTCTGAAAATTTCTGGAATTAACATAAAAATTGTAATAAATTGCTAAAATTTGAAACTGAAAAAATTTTGAAAAATTCTGAAATTACATAAAAATTTTTGATGAATTATATGAAAAAGTATTAAAAAAATTTCTACCAGGGTGTGCCAATAAATTGTACGGCTAAAAGTGTCGTTCAAGTTTAGTTCCCGCGAGGGGACCTAATGATACTCACCGTTCCTGCGAAATGTGTACGCACCTGAAATGAGTAACAGCGTCTGCTAGCGTCGCCTCACCGCGCATGCGCCGAGTTGTCCTTCCAATTCGCAATTTCACAACACTATTTCCGCTACGGTAGCCGATACACTGACGTCCATTTTGCTCGTTTGTTGGTGCGAGCGTCCTTGATTTATGAGCTACCTTTATAGCCTGCTCATCGTAAGTAAATATTAGTCTCTATAAATCGTGTTGTTTCGTGAATCCGGGATTTCGGATTTTTGCTCGAGAGTTTGCTTCAATTAAATCTGACGTCGTGTCTCTGAAACGCGTTCCCGCGAGGACATTTTTCATAGAACTTTCTGAGGTAGCGTCGGTGATACGCTGTGGTGAGACGCTTGCCGCATTTTGTTAAAACTCGCCGAGACTTGAATAAAAGAGCAACAAATAAAGAGATTACGCACGCCACAGTTCGGTATTTCAGCGTAGAGAGGAAGAGTGAGGGAGAGAGGGTTTAGATTATTTTTTATATTCTCTGTATTTGCAAAGGCACTGATAACTAACGTGCATCTTTTGTTGAAAGAATTTGGTGGAAAATGTCACTGAATTGCTTTCAGATTAGACAAATGCGTTACAATCCATGGTACTGTGCGAATCTAATGTGTTTTAGAAATTTCTGAATTCAAGATTCCTTGATCTTTTAATTCTTAAGATTTATTCTGAAATTTTTCATTGCCTCTAGTTTTAACTTTTATAGATCAGTGCTGTTCAAGATTTGTAATTCTAGGTATTGACTTGACATGTGTCAGCATTTATGCCTATTGCTCTTCTTTTTTTATCTCTTCATCAAGAAAAAAAGAAAGCAATAGCCTCATCAGGTTCTTCCCATTTGGTGACACAAATCAGTACAAGTCGTTTTATCTTTGTTATTCACTGAAATCGCAAAAAGAAAATAGAATGATGTTAATGTTTTAGATTATAGTAAGTTTTGAACCAATCCTATTGGATTAATGACACTGCAAGTTCCATTATTGATAGAACATGTAGCGTCAATCAATAGCAAAGCATCAATCCAACTCAGGTCAGTTTAAAGCCTGCTACAGTCAAAAACGCTATGTGCCAACTTGTGTTACTAAATGGAAAGTCATAGATACTGGACGTTTATCAGCAAGAACGCAGTGAAATATTTTATCCTTGTTTAACATTGACAAAGAAGAATATAATATTTCACTGTATTACACTAATGTCCATTTGTATCAATATAGATTAATCTTAATCTTGGTTCAACTAACTTTTCATCTTTTTCTAATTCTAAAAATGAGAAAAATGTAAACAATAAATTAAACTGAGATTAAAGTTGATCTACATTGATAAAACTAAGTTTGTTTTTTGAAAAGAAAAAAGAAGAAAAGATGAACTCTACAAGAAGTTCAACTAAAAAAAACAAGCCTACTGTGTCATTGCTGGAAAACGTCTATTGTTATATATCAAGCAAATGCCTACAATTATAAATCTTGAACAGTTAATTGATCTATAAAGTTGAAAATAAAAAAAATTTCAGGATTATTATAAATATTTATGTTATTGTAATATATCGTATAGCTTTTTAGCTTTATACTTCTAGATTTGATATGAATCAAAATATGTTTCTTCAGGAAGTTTGAATAATGGAGGGAGCACCAGGAGGTGGTAGAGGTAGTTTTCGAGGCCGTGGAGGCCCGGGTGGAGTAATGAGGGGACGCGGCGGTTTTGGAGAGAGAGGAAGGTAAAGAACTTATTGAAACAAATTTGCCATAAAAAAGAACTTTACGTTATGGGTTAGCAGGAGATACTATGGAGACCTTTATCGGATACGAATATTTCTTTTGACTAAAATACTGATAAAATAGCAATAAATAATTGAGATATTTGTAATCAAGAAAGTCGCCTAGGGTTGTTTTAAAGCAATTTTTTGATGAGGTAAAATTTTGATATTTCATTTGATCTGCACTATAATTCAATGAAGTGCAGATAATTTTATTTATTATAATGTTTTAAGAACCAAATTTGATATTAGTTTTATAAAAAAAAATTGAAAAAGTTTCATTACAATATTATTTTCAGGAGATAAAAGGTTTGTAAGCTGTACAAACATATATCTGTATTAAGAATAATGAATAGATATATGTATGAATAGATGCATTTATTATAGTTACTCAAAGCCAAATTACAAAAGCTGTCTTTGTAAAAATCTTTGTAGATTCGTAAAAAAGAAATAAAAATGTTTGTAGCAAAATATTTCGTCCATAAGATAAAATGGAATACAAATACGTATCTGTATCATGAATGCAGATTAATTAGCTCGACACATTTGCCTTTAACATTCTCATACACCTTTAATATTCTCAAGAAACAATTTGTTTCAGAAAGAAATTCTTAAATACTACGTTGCTTTTATAATTAGTTTCCATTCTTTTAATTAAAAATATGGCATAATGAAAGAAAGAATTTAATCAAATTGTACAAATAGAGATGCTGTACGTAATATAAGTATGAAAGAAATAACTGATATATTTATTTCGCAACAGAGGTGGTCCTCCTCGAGGTGGTAGCATGATGCGTGGTGGACGAGGTAACGGGCCTGGCGGGAGAGGAGGTCCTCCAATGAGAGGCCGAGGTGGTCCTCCTGGCAGAGGTGGACGAGGTGGACATTTTCCTCCAGGGTAAGCATTTTATTATTATATATTTTATATTCTAATAAAATTATTCATATTTTGCAAAATATTTAAATTTGTCATTAATTTATAAATTGTATTAATTTTTTTCCAATATTATGAAAAATATTAATATATTTAATAAATATACATTATTAATAATACATTATTACTTTGTACTTTCTACTAATGCCTGTTGATAGATTTATCACGAAATGTGACTTTTTAGAATTGCTGAATTACAAGATCTTATAAATCTCTTTTATATATTTTTAATAATAAAGTTTAGAAGTTTGTCCTTAGGAATGGGTGGTCCTCCACGAGGAGGTGGCGGTAGGGGTGGTGGTAGTAATAGCTTCCGTAGCAGAGGCAGAGGCGACTTCGGCAGGGGAGATAGCCGCGGAGGTAGCAACAACTTCCGAGGTCGCGGCATGGATAGAGGTAGAGGAGGATCTAGGTAAGAATTGATTCTTAGCTCCAAAATAATTTATTTGAGCCTGAGTAAAATTATTTATGTAATGATGGTTACTGCTCTTTTGAAAATTTCTTGAAAAAAATCTTTTATACATGTGAATATATCGCAAATTTATTCTTAAGTTCTAGCAATTTATTGAATGATTTACGATAACTTAATAAATATTTGTAAGAAATTTTTGAATTTGCTAAATTTAAATTTGATATCGGAAATTCAAAATTTAAAGTAGTACATCTAATATGATGGCTTGACAATCGGAAAAATAAATTTTTGTTAAACTAAGATATTTTTTAACATCAAGAAATCGTGATAAAAAAATATATATAAAGAGAATCGAAGAAGACATTTATATTACATACATTTATATTATATACTAAGACAGAAGCGGTGAAGCAATGAAGTTTATTAGTATATAAAGATGAGGCGCAAATTTTTATTTGCGAATATACGTAGTGTCATTGGTAGTTACTTAACAGTTAATTTTAGTACTAGGAGTAGGTAAAACAAGCAAATGACAAGAGCAAGCATAGAAATTATAATAACTACGTTTACACGTACTCACTTGATTTACGCCGAAGTAACATTGATGTTATGAAATTGGTCGTGAAATCGAGCCGTGTAAACGGAATCCATATGAAAAATACACTGTAATGTTCCCATCCTGTAACGAGAATTTTATTAATGTGATAGAATTATATTTTTATTCAAATGCAATTTATTGTTTCAGAGGAGGATCAAGCAGAGGTGGACCCAGCCGTGGTGGCTTTGATCGTGGTGGTCGGGGGACTGGTGGTGGACGTGGCGGTCCTACGAAACGAGGAGGAGGTCCACCTAGCTCGAGTGGACCTTCCAAAAGGCCGCGTTTTGATCAGCCGTCTTCCCAACCATCTAATGGTTACGCCACTCAACCTCCTAGGTAAGTGTTACAGGAACTTTCTTTTTATCGTAACGTTTAAAGGCATTTTTTTTTCTTGAAAACTAAAGATTGAAAATTAAATTGATGTGTGTTTTTCAGTCATGCTTACCAAATATCGAACATTAATCGAAATTAATTTTTTATGCCAGTTTTATATATTTATAATATTTAATTATTTAAATGTATTAGTGCGTTTATTAGGATATTTAATGAGCTATATATATATAAAAGAAAATTATCAAAATTATATTACTTAAGATATTTTATATTTCTCACACTTTTGGTACTAATTTTCAATTAATATTGGAAATTATAGCTTGATGTTGAAGATACCTACTATTATATATGTTTAATCTTTTGTCAAGAATAAATTAATTTATTATATATACTTTTTATGACATACTATAAAAGATACAATTTAAACTGTTTAAGTTAAGCATTTTCTAAAACTCATATGTATCTCTGTTTTCAAAACATACCTTCTTTAGAATAATAAATTTACGAAAATAATAAAAAAATGTTCGATAAGATTTATAACAACATAGACATTATAACAAATAACAAATTAAAAAATATTGAAGATATAATAATACAATATACAATTAATAAATAGTTACAATTTATATTTTACATATAAAAATCCAAAAATAATCAATGAAGTATATATTAATAAGATAAAGAAAATGAATGTATTAACAACTCATTTTGTTTTTGAATGATAATAGCCAAGGTTACGGAGGTTCAAGTAACGCTTACAGCAGCCAACAACCGCAGCAACAACAGTCCGTAGGATACGGTAGCGGTGGCTATGGCTCACAACAAGGCTACACGCAGTCTTATCAGGGCTATGAGAGTTATCAGCAGCCTCAGGATTACGGACAAACGGTAAATGAAATTGATACAATACATATATCCGAGACAATTCCGAAAACAATCCACGAATTATTTTTAATAATTTGAATGTTAAAATACATTTCTAGATTTTTGAGCATTAAATTTAATTAAATTATTCCAAATAAATTTAAATAATTACACAATTCTAATCTCTCGAAATTAATAGAATTTTCTATTGATGTTAATTAAAAAATTGTTAATTGTGTTTTCAATCAGAATCCATAATTATTTTGTCTCCTTTGATTCTAGGGTTATCCACCGTCCGCAGCAGATAGCAGATATGGCGGGGCGTCATCGGTTCCAGCTGCAGGATTCGGCGCTAACGATCCGTACAGTTACGGCAAAGCTCCGCCGTCAGGTGAGTTGTAGACACTAAAGAAGTGTTGTATGCGACGTGCGTCGTTACTTTTCTATTATAATTTGTGTATCTTTGTCTCTCGCTAATTAATTTTGATCAATTCCTCATGATCTAATAATTTGAAGTTATTTTTTTTTTCCAAAAAACTTCCAGATCTTTAAAATTTTAATTCCAAACATGACCTTCCTATAATAATAATTTGAAATAAAAATTCAGATTGTGAAGGATTGATTAAGCTTAACGTATTTTTATAACGTTGACAGTACTTATTACGACAATCAAGTACTGATTGTGAGTACTCAAAACGTGCGATAATCTACTAATCGAGTACTCGAGCGTTGAATTGATAGGTCGGCGGGACACCATATACAGTTATTAATATTACATAATGCATGTCTAGCCGATTACCAGCAGGAGGCAGTGTCATCCGCGGGACCGGGGGGCGGGGCCGGTTATGTCTCAGCTAACCCATATGACGACCGATCTAATGCCAACATAATCAACCGGGGTTATTCGACGCAACCTTATGGTTAGTTGTTTCGTTCGCTGTCATCGTTCACATTATACAATTCATTAACTACGGCCGTTGGAGCGATCCTTAAGGACTCATTTATCGTAGAGATGGAATACTGAATTATTTGCTCGAAGAGATTTCCAGCAAAGAAGTGTCACGATATTAAATTGTGTCACAAAATCATGGTAGGGAATTTAATTAGTAATCTTGATGAAATGTTAATTATAAATGTTCCTCGAGAAAAGTTAATAAAGTATCAGATTATTATGACAATAAATAGTTTATTATGTTCTCCACATAAAATTTCTAGCAAAATATTGAATTTAAGATATTGTATATGATGCGATACTCTTTTCTGGCAAATAATAATTTTATATCCCGATGATAAGTGAGTTCTTGAAGATCGCTACCTAATGTTTTTGTTTTCCGGGTTACATCCGAGTTAACACGATTCCGCAATAAAAGCGTAAAACACAATTCGATTCAGACGAGAAACGTTCTGATTTAGACGATAGAAAAGAGAGCAAACGCGCAATCAATATGTCAGATCATCGATTTATTTTCTGGAAACTCAAATACTTGAATTTCTCGAATGCAATTAGAATTGGAATTTTTTTTAAATTCTTGAAATTTTCTTACATTCTCGTTCCTTCTCGAATATTTGGATTTTTATATTGCTAGATATCTCTGTCTAGAATTTTAAACAGTTTTTTTTTCTCTGAATTGTATTCTATTCGCGAGCGATGCGAATGAGTTGCGCAGAGTTACACAAATCCCATTTTGAACGTAATAAGAAATCACATAAAAATTGGATACGGATCCTTTCATCGAGACACTAGCACTGCAGCACTGCCTCCTGCCATCTTTCACTCCAGGATTACAAGGTCCGTGATATGTGCAATTTCTTTCTCACCTAAAACAAAAAATATATATAAGTGTATAAATTATCACATTAAGCCTTTTATTATTCTTTTTCAATATATCCTCTATCATCTGATTTTATTTATAATATATATTTTGGATTTCTTAATCTATAAGTCAATATTATTATAAAGATTTCTCCGTAGATTTATTTAATTTGTAAGGAAATGTAAATGTTTTAAATTGTTTGAAGCAATTAAGCGATATTAATTGATTAACTATCACTTCCTCCTTTTTTGTATTTTGCCATAACTACTTTGTCATTTCGTTATATTACGTTATATTAATAAAGCTTTTTTTTTCATTATTTCATTCGACTCGTTTCAAATATTTCTCGTCTGAGTCATTCGCTTCTAAATTTTCAGCATTTTTCATGAAGCGTTGTTTGATAAATATGTGTTTTTCTTGTAATTGCAGATTATCCGAGTCAGGACGGTGTTTATGGGAAACAGGACTATGGTAAGTACAACTCGCAGTTCAGAAAAGTTCATTGATCAGAGGAAAACAAATTTAGCTAAGTCGATTGGGAAAGGAAATTGTGTTTATGTAGAATCTATACGTGAAATATACTAAATAAGTAATAATATAGAACATACAAAGAAACATCCGGAAGGTACAAAAAAATATATCATAAACGACACATGTTAATGTATTATTTTATATGCAAGATTTATATGAACATTTTCGTACTTTTAACGATGAAAGTGTAGGACATTCTATAAAATTTAGGAAACTTTTAGATAATTAGTCGGTGAAATTTCATTATATACAAAACAATAATCAAAGACATTATTAAAGATGATTCTGAGAGATTTATGAATTTGAGAATTGCGATTCCCAAATTATAAGGTCAAATTTAATTAAACCATGTCATTTAAAAATCAAGTGAAAATTACAGTCAGTACTGAACACAATGTAACGACTTGTAACGCAAAAAATATATGTACAACCTGTAGGACTATTATAAACGATATTAATTTAAATAGTTATGCGTTAGGTACGAGTGTAATATTACGAGAGATATTTATCGACATTATCAATAGCTATTATTAATACATCGAAATGTTTATTGCAATGTCTTATGAGAATACTCGCAGTACTAAAAGTATTTGCAGTTCTACAAAAAGCGTTTATATTATTACAAGAGCATTTGCGATATCACAAGAACATAATAGCAAAGAAAGATTCTTAATCCACTTAAACATACATGAGATTTTTGCAATATTCGAGCGTTAACAAAATTAAAAGACTGTCCACAAAGATATTTACATCACAGAGCTAATCTACAAGAAGTCCATTTTTTTAAGTATTTAAGAATCAAAGGCAAATGAAATTATGATATATATTCATTGTACACGTACACATACACACGCCGAAAACGTCGAAAAATAATAGGCAGGTAAAGAATTGGTAGCGATATCGTGCAAGGATCTATAAGTAGGTCGTTCAGTTTTATGTATATGTAGAGAAGCAAGAACACTAATTATATTTCTCGAGTAATGGAACGGAGGAGCTATGGTTGTTTCCAGGTGGCAGTGCTGGTTACCAAAACGCCCAGTCTCAGCGACGTTATTAAAGATATCCGTCACTTAATCAATATCCGCTCATTAATTTTGTATCTAAGTAGACAACAATTCTCCCAGGCGAAAAGAAAAAAAAAACACAGAACAGATCGTATCCATCTTCCGTCGCACGTTAAAGAGAATAAACTTTCTCCTTTTAAAACTGCGAAATATATTTGTTGATAGAAGAACGATGACAATCGAGGAATCTTGAAGCAAGGTGACGTAAAAATGTAAAATCGGGATGCACTTATATATCAAGGGATTTATCTCACTTTTCGTAAAAGCTGACTTGATTACACACGTTGAAAAAGTTGGAAATTAATACTGTTAGACATATAACATATGTCATAATTATTTTGTATATGAATATATCTTTGTCTTTTGCTGAATGCACTTTTTCAATTGACGTATATATTTGAAGAATTGTTTTACTTTAAACAATTTTCAAAAATTTAATCTCATTGACTCCCAGCTTTTTTAAGGCTCCGCGTCACTTTGCTCCCAAGATTTTTTTCACTTCCGCTTGCTTTGTCTTCGTCTCGTGCGCGTTGAATGAACTTGATCGATATATATTGCTTGACGATATAGGGAATACATATTTTATACTTGACAATTAGCAATTAATACACACATTATTTCACTACGTCGCCTGTACGACAATCTAGAATTAAGTCCCGGTCGAGCGATTAATTTTCTCGACCGTTTTCTTCACTATTTGCGTAGCGTAATTTATCACAACAGAGTAATAACTAAAGAGAAACCAACAATAACAAAAGCGATAACGACGACACTGTAAAGTCGGCTGTTTTGTAAATAGAAATCATAAATAAACCCTTTTTTTGTGGAGAGGAAAAATGATGGCAAAGCACGCGATATATGGAACTGTGTACTCTATCCCTGAAGGCTTAGAAGGAGAATAACGTTAAACACTGATATAAGCACTTCTCAATATGTCTTAATATTTATTCATTTTGATTAACTGATATCTAAATTTATATCTGTTCAATTAAATTTAATTGAAAATATCGAGGATTATTTTGAAACTACTTGAAAATGTTTTATAACTTATTGTAATAATTGTTTGCCAAAATTTTATTGTTTATTGTAATTTTTTGTTAATATTAGATTCATCCATTTTATAATTTATAATTACATAAATAATTCTGCAATCTATAACTTGGCAAAATAACCGTCACGACTGTCGATGATCAGTCATCAGCATCAATGTTATACTGGAGATAATCATCAATTGAAAATTAAATTAATTAAATTCTTATGAAATAGTTAATTTTTCATAAGATTTAACGAAGTTGGCAATTTTGTTGTCTTCTTTAACGATTAGCTATGATTGCAGAAAAAAAATGTGAGTCTCGGTTGTTTGAATGAGATTTCTTTTCTCGACAGAGAATCCGACCAGGAGTCGAATAGTATAACGAATTTAACAATGCAGTTATATAATGTCTAATCCTCTGTCGTGCATTATTTTATATTAATTAACGAAACTCGCTTGAAATAATTTGTACCGTTTATTGTATATGATACATCTTTTATGAATAATTCTATATAGCGCATCATGTTGTTATGTCCCGATCTATTGTAAACGATCGCTCGATGAAAATGAAAGAAACATTGAAAAAAAATGAAGATCGAGAACATCAATACATCAAAGACTTATACCCTTACCCTTATTGTCACCTTACCTTATAGCACGAGAAACAGAGAAAAAGTGGACGAGAAACACGCAAAAAACCAGCAACTGCCCTAGGAAGACAAGCTAATCAAAAAGACTGAATATGGGCGAATAAGTATGATAATTAGACGAAAGATTATCTCGGTAATATAGTAACAAAAAGTAGGTATATATATATATGAACATTTTTGGGAAACATTGGTAGATTAAATGCCATTTCCGACCGAGCCATTCTTTCGTCTATGAATTTTTCGATCGTTTGCAGTCGATTTTTTCTTTAACAAAGGTATCAAAAGCATTGTTAGATTGTAAGCAGTCTAGAATAAAACATTTCTTAGGAAGAGTAAGGCTTGAGAACATGGCGAGAATAGATAGCGAAATTTTAATTATTTTGTAAGAGTTGAAGATTAATTAGAGATATATTCAATGAATAATATAAAGATTGTGAAACTACGATAATGATCTCTTCGACGTTTTCAGTAAGGAAAAATCGACTCCGAACTGGTAAAAAAATACATGGACGAAAGATGAAGACTCATTTAAGAAATCATAACGTCCAGTTAGAGATATTTAATTAGAAAAAGGTAAAAGTAAAAATTAGATAACATTTGAAGAAAATTATGTGAGTTTGTGAAAGTGTATGTAAGTTTAAAGATTTTATTCTAAAGCATATAACAAATTTCACATATCTATTAATTTCAAAATAACGTTACTATTTCAGGAATATCTCACCCCTGAGTCATACGTAAACGTAGCGTTGGAAATAATTGACAAGCCCAGATATAAGGCCCGACATCTCTTATAGTTTCTAAAAGTTCAATTATGATTAGTACACAATATTATGATATTTGAATATTATTACTTAAGAAATATAATATAAATATATTTATAGAGCAATATGAGTACAATATGATATGAATGCAATTATAGAGTAATATAATGAGTTTATTATAGAGTCATATGAGTTCAATTATATAGCAATATCATTTGAGTACAATTACAGAGTAATATCATGAGTGCATTGTAGAGCATATGGAGTTTAAGAAGCGGAAGGTACTTAAAAGTACTAATAATCACCAAGTTTGATGAAAATCAAGTTTATTTCACAGGCGTAGCAACAAGCTGAGATACTTAAGAAACAATGAAAGTCAGAGGGTGAGAGACAGAAAGTATCGTTCTTCCAGCAAGAAACATGTCAAATTTGTTAAGTCATCCACCCTCACTTAAAAAAGAAAAGACAAATCGAGTAAATAGTGGGTGCAGTCCAGTTAGCGCTATTCAAAATAGTTTAAAAATAATTAAAATAAAATTAGAAGAGTCGTACTATCGAAATCCAATTGCGCTAACTAGACCGGCATTCAAAGTGAGTAAAATTATTTTCGTTAATTATACATATACTTGAAAGCAGTAGAAATTAGCTAAAGTCCTTGAGTTTATAATTACTTAAGATTCATCTTGTTAATCATATATATGCAAAATGTACAATTTTTATATGGAAAATAAGTAAAGAAAGAGCAACTTGCTATAAAAAGTATTTTTTTATGCACACCATTTTTTTTTAAATTGCGTATCACTTGGAATCAAATAACAGTCAATCAAAGACGATTATCAATCAATGATAAATATTAATGTGACGTACATGAGAAAATGAGAATGGAAAAGAGAACAAACCAGAAAAGTAATGAAACTAACGCGTGCAATGCGAAACACTAAATATTAGAAATGAAAGTCAAATGCTCGAGTATACCTCAACCCAAAAGCTCAGGTGAGTAAATACAAATAAATATCTATCCATTCTTTGTGAACAGCTATCTATTTGCGAAGAGGACATATATTTATATATATATATACATATATATATTTATCAGAATTTATAAGAGAGTAATCGAATTAATTAGTTAGACGGAACTTCGAACTACTGCATTTATCGAGTGTAAAAGTGAATTTAGCGAAATAACAAACGTAGTGACAATTAATTGCAATATAACAGCGAATCTTTGAAAGGCGTCCTAATGTATCACAGGCGATCGAATTGCTTGAAAAGTAGATTTCATTCGATTGTAACAAGCCCAATTGCGTTTCTTTATTTTTATGTCTCTTATAAAGACGTAGCACAGGGAGTGAGATAAAATCACTACGACCGAATAAAGATACATCAAAAAGACGAGTGGAAAAGATTCGTAAATTCACACCTTTCACAAGTATATTCGCAGTTAACAACCGTTACCGTTACAATATTCTCTCCTATAGATGAATTATCTTGCCGTTTTAACGCGCACGGCGGATGTTAAATCGAGAGATAATAACTTAAAGCGCTAAAGTTAGGAAGGCGCCAAAGGAAATGAAACTGATTCACTCGATAATCAAGTAGGCACGATTTTGAGTAAACGAGCAATGTTGCAAACGACACTTCGTAAAGATATAGACAATTAGTTTAAATCTCAGATGAGTGCGAAATTGATTTCACAATTTGACCACTCGGCTCCTGTCTGATTTATCGATGTTGCTTTCTCTAGGTTGATCACAATGGCAACAACTGTGACGTCCAACGAGATCGTCATCTACATGGAATCATCGATTATAATCGCCGCATGACCGGTATCGCAATCATGAGAATCAGAAAAATCACGAATCTGGTGAGCTAGAATTAATTATGAATATATTAATGCTGCGTATATACACTAATAGTATATTTCTACTATTTGTAGCAGTACACTCTAATTTTTCTTGGAGTGAAATCTCACTCCGAGAGAGAGAGAGAGAGAGAAAGAGAGAGAGTGAACATACAGCCACTTTTAAAGAATGAAAATATTTCACTCTTTTTGAGTGAAATTTCATTCCAAGAAATTTGGAGTGTATGTACGAATAATATACTTATAGTACCATATACCAATAATATATATATTTATAGTATATACTAATATATATTTCTTATACATACTTATTGCCATTCTAGTGTTGCACACCTCGCAGGTATAATATACTCCATACATCATGTGCTTCGTGTACAGGCGAATAGGAATCGCATTTTAGAATGGTATACGAATTATATTTGTCTGAGAAATTTTGCTCTTTTTCTTCTTGAATGATTCCTCCCCATTTGTCTTATCTTGCTGTCGATTATTTTAACGATTCTGGTTCTAGTTTATATTTTCTAGTTTATATTTTTTCTTAAAATTATTATTACGTAGAACTTTAAATTTAAAGGGTAACCATTCTTTTTATTTCTTTTTTCAAAAAAAGAAATTTGAATTTCCAATTTTTATCTTTTATATATAGATCCTAACTTTAATCCGTTAACTTTGTAAATAAATTTATATGTTCTTAATATTAAATTGTGAATGAAAATGTTAACATTTATATTTGCAAAAATAAAAGCTGTTTATTTTATATCGTTACACTACACATGGTTTTAAATATTTTAATACCAAGAACGAGTTACATAATAAAAATAAACCTTTTTCAGGTTTATTTTTATAGTCGATAGAAATAAACATAATATTTTATTATTCATTGTTATAAAGACCGTTTTATATACTGTTTAAAGTGTAAAAAAGTATGTGACATATGCATTTCGATCGATAAAATATCCAATACGTATTCTGATAAAAATTTAGAAACATTAATATTAGGTATTTTATTGATCAAAAGATATTTAAAATGTGTTTTAGGGTCTTTAATTAAACTTCGATTAACATAATAATATTATATAAAAATATATATATATATATATAATACTATACTATTTTTAAATAGAATTCTTAAAATTATAATTTTATTATTTAACACGTACAGAGATGAAAAGATTAAAGACAACAATTGTTCAGTCAAACAATGAATTTTATATGCATAAGGTGCTTTCCAATTGCTTAACACATCTTAACACAACATAGAAATGCACAAAGTGTAGCATTGTGTACGATTCAATTGGAACAGAATGTGTTCGCTGTACATAACTGAGATCCGTTTCGGATAGATTAAATGTAGCTTTTTCTGCTTGTATTAAATAAAAAAAAATAAAAGTGCTGGCCACTCAACGCCGCGGTTAGTAACATGTAATTGTCACTAGAAAACACAAGCTTACACAACCCTCGGCTGAGTACAGATGTGTGTAGTATTGTGTAGACGATAATAGACAATTGGAATACAACCAGTGTCGCTGTGTGCACGAAAATGTTTACGGATATTGCAATTGGAAAGCATCCATAATATACATATATGTTGTATATGTGTATTATATTTGTAAAGGAGATCGAAGGCACTTAATTATTCTTCGCTCAAAAGGCTCTACGGGAAATAATATAGAATTTGAATAGAAGTGCAAAAAATAGCACTCATTCTGCTTGTAAAAAGAAAGAAAAATAAATATACATATATCAATGAGTATCATCTAGTTCTTTTTGCAATTCTTTTACTCTTTTTAAGCGTTCTTTTGCATGGGCTGATCATATTTTAATAGGGTTTGTGAGTTCGTCGTCTGTTGCATTTGGATGTGAATTTCGTAACACACCTGAAAAAAATATTTTTTTTATTAGATTCATTATTTCTTAACAAATTAGAAGAAATATCTCTATGTCATTTTTAAGAAGTGATTGTGTACTTTATTTGCAATACATATATATGAGAGTTAATTAAAAAATATTTATAATTATAAACGTTTATTGAAATAAACACTAGATATTTACGAATATCTTAATTTGTAAAGAAATAATATTATTTAATAAATATAAATTTTGTTTTTAAAATTTTACTTACTCATCATTACTTTGCATATCTCCAGTGTTGAGAAAACTAGTTTCTTTTTCGCTCCATACCAACTATATTCTACTGCCAATTCGTTTGATAATATGACTTTTATCAATCGCATGCAAGATAATCTAACATGTTCAGATGTTATACGATTCAATTGTTTAATCTACAATTATTAAAAATTAAGATTATTTTTTTAATTTATTGAGTAGATCACAAATTGTTATCCTTCATTTTTTCGAAGATACTTTGTAATATTGAAGTATAAATATTAGACCTACCATCTGATTTCGATATTCTGGATCATCTTTTAATTTTCTCTCCATTATTTTTAAATCATTTTCGTCTTTCAATGGTAAATCAGCAAAAACATCAATATTTTCTTCGTTTTTCACATTTTTCGAAATTGCAAGCTTTTGGAAAACAGTCATTTGAAATATGTTCATATCATTTACTAATATTTTTAAAATTTTGTCTATATTTATTAGTTTCTGTACGACAAAACATTGAAAATTGTCCAATTCTGTAAGACATTAAAAACATTTTATTCGTAAATTTGATATTTACTTTTATCCAAAATATTAAATCTTGAAATAATCTTTGATAGATTAAGAAAAATATTATGCAAAATTAAATAAAAATAATACTTTCACTGACTGAGTATGTCTAAAGTAATGAATTATTTCACCTTTATATTTAATATTTAGCTATTCTTTTATACATGAATAAAAATAGTAAAAAAAACAATGCAAAATTATTTTAGAATAAATAATATTATGATTGTACAAGAAATAAATTCATTGTAAAATGAAATCGTAAAATGAAAGGTAAAATAAAAATTGATTGCATATTAACCTTGTTTTTTAAATTTCAAGTTTGAATTTGAGAGTGGGTCCTTGTTATTGTCATCATCATTACTTCCAGAATGGATGTCTTCTATATCGACAAAAAATATATTTTGTAGAGCTAAAAGGATGTTATGTATGTATTTATGATATAAAGCATATAAAATATGTATAATGAATAATAATTTGTCTTTCTCTTTTTAATAAAAATATAGAATTACATATGATACAGACATATTGTATTTGACTCTTATAGATAGAAATAAATAGACACATCTTTTATCTTGTTTTACTTATAATATGTAGGAGAGGATAAATCATTGTCCTCAAGTATATGTATAATACAAATTAGTCTTAATACTGAAATTTATTTCAACAAAAATTATACATACCTAATTCATCTTCTTTTTCTTTTTTTATGTTGCAACCATTTAACGTTGTAATATTCTCTGTGCTTAGACATTCTGTATCATGAATGCGATTCAAATCTATAATGCATAAAATGATACTTCATTATTAAAACATTCTATCCTTTCTTAGTTTATTATTTCTATAATTAATACTCTTTTCTATTTTTTATTTCTATTAATGTTTTTGTACTATTACCTTCTTGTGCATTTTTTGTGATTTTTTGTTTTTTTGCAACAGAGAGATACATGGAACAACGTTTTTTTATAGAAGGGCTTAGGCTTTTAATAGAATTGTCTGACAGTTCTTCATCACTATCACTGTCCAAGAGTTTAATAGCTCTAATTTTTCTTGGTTTTTTAAGATAATCTTCTTTTTCCGTATTGGAACTCAAATTTAATAGTTTTTCAGCTTCTTTTAATTTTTGCTGTGCCACTGTATAATCAGCTACAACAATATAATCCCGATAAAAACATGTATTATTTTCATATATTATTAAAGAATATACAAATATATTAATATATTAAATATATTAAATATATTAAATATATTAAGTTAATGTTGCAGACGAAATGGCCATTTATTTTTAATTTTGAATTTAAATTTAAATTTTCATTCGACATACTTTATATACATCTTGTTAATTGAAATAATCTCCATCTAATACTCTTTCTCGAATGTAATACAAGTGAATAAATGTCTTTTATGTAGAAATTTATATTAAAAGAGCAAATTTATATTAAAGCAATTTATATTAAAAGAGCAAAACGTTGACTTTCTATTGAAATATTTTTTCACATAAAAAGCTATTCAGATGCTTAAACAAGTGACAATGTGTTGAAGAAGAGTAAAGAAGGTGAGGGGAACTTCGCGTTTGTATTCTAACAATTTCTTTTTACAGTTTTGAAGATGTCTAGCATTATCATGGAATAATAACATGTCGCATGAAGCTTGTTCACCTTCCTCATTTACTTTGTCGGAAAGCAGTTAAATAGTGAATATTGATGCTGCGTGCAATATCTTGAACTGATAAATGTGTCTGTTTCAATCATATCTTTCAAAACATTATCATCAACTACTGATGGCCTAAAGCCACGAGGCAAATTGTCGAAGTTTATATCACCAGATCGAAACTTTTCGAACCAACATCTGATAGTTTGATCATTTACAAGACCTTCCCCAAAAGAATTTATGCTTTATATTTTTCCGGTCGCACTGACTAAGTTTGAATTTATTATCCGCAACAATATCATCCGCATTTTCTTACTTTTCACGTCAAAGAAACAGCGATTTTTAATGATTTAAATACTGTAATAAAAATAAGATTATGCATGTGTGAATCTATTACGTGTAAGGCGTATACTTTATAAATCACTCATATAATGAGTGTACTTACTTATATACTTGTATTATATAAAAAAAGCTAATAAATTCGGAAAATTTTAATTATTAAAAATAACTATTTTATCTAATAACTTGATATTATATGTATACCGAAAAGTAACGATAAAGTATCTCAGAGGAGAATATAATGTGACATTACTTACTATATATTCCATATATTTTTCGAATGGGATGTTTAATCCAGGTAGATTCTGGCTCTTCCATTAACTTCACCGCTTTGTCATATCGCTTGTAATTTGTAAAATTTGGCCAAACGGCTTTCATTACACTTAAATTTAACCAATTGTTTGGAATCATTTGAAGACCATCTTCAAATTCAACGATTGCGTAAAATTTTCCATCGGTCATTCTGTTTGAATAAATATATAAATTATATTTTGATATTTTTGGAAAACATTATTGCATATCAGTCACATGGCAATTTGAAATATTTCCTAATAACATTTTTTAATAACTATGATTTCAGATCCATGTGATTTTTCCCTGAGGCAGAAATGTGAAAAGTGAACATTTTTATCAATGAAGTTAATGGAGAAATTTTTTATTTTTCTTATTTCATTCTAAAGGAAAAATTATATGATTGATACCCCCTGAAAATGTACCATCGTCATGTAACACAAGTAAAAATTATGAATTTTAAATGATATAAATTTCAAGAAGATGGATAAAGAACGCTGGATAGATTTTTTCTTCCAAGAATTTATAACCATGCGATAATTACTTTTATTTCAAAATGTGTCACAATAAGACATAAAAATGTAAACGTATGTATCTTGTGAATTATATTATAGATTTTTTGATAATTTAATACTTTTATATGCAAAACTAGAAGAATTATATTATGTAAAAAATATAATATAAATTAATTGAATGGCTCAATTGAAATAAATAAAAAATAAATAAAAAATGGCATAGAGTATATTTCTTTTCAATCTAAAAATAATATCAGCCATTTCTACGTCGTGAATACTGCGCAATTCAAAATTCTGAATAGGAAAAGTTTTTTAATCCAATTGAATAGGAAAAGTTTTTTAATCCTATTGAATAAAAAAAAAGTTTTTCTTTTAAAATGGACCATGAATGCTATTCAATTCAAAATTGTGTGTGGAAAATCCATTGTTTCATTTAAAAATGCATCATGAATGCTACTTTATTAGAATTATAAATAAGAAGGATTTTTCGTTTTAATTCAACTGAGTTAAAAAAAGTAAAAATTATCATGAATTCTATTTTATTTAATAGTTAAAAGAAACATAAAAAGAACTACGTAAATATGTACAATAAATGTTACATATATAAATTTTTTATTTTTAATCAATAAATTAATCGCTTTTATGTATATTTTAATGTTTCCTTTATTATATAGCTAGCGTATATTTTTTGTAATATTATAAAAGTTTTAAAATAATAATTATAGAATTTTATGTAATTACTACTTTAATTTATTTAAACTTTTACATGTATAAAAATTTTTTATATGGAATCCAATTCATTTTTATGAATTTAAAATATGGATTCGGATGGATTGAAAATTTCCAATCCATAAGCGATTAATTTATTAATTAAAAATAAGGAATTTATAACATTTATTAAAATGTAACATTTAACAAAATTTTAAATTTAGCAGTATTCATCATGCACAGAAATGACTGATATTATTTCTAGATTTAACTGGATTGAAAAACTGCATTTACTATTCAGAATTTTAAATTAAGTAGTATTCACAATGCACACATAAAATATTATAATATTATTTTTAGATTGAAAAGAAATATATAGAAATATACTCCACGCCATTCCTATAAATGAATAAAAATGCATTCAGGATTGAAAAGGATTCATTTTAACATTCATGAATTCGTATTTCTGAAAATCTGAATACATTTTAATCTATTTCAATCCATTCTCGTTTGCTGGGCTATGTAACTAGCATCGAAATTATCACAAGAGACTACGTTTTGATTGCATAATGGATCCAAATCATCCTTTCCTTTTTTAATGAAATTTTTGAGCAAATTCGGAATAGAATAGGCTAATTTACAGTTGAACATATTAATAATTGGAGAAAATTTCTCAGATATGGATTTTACGTAAACGATTGTGAAAAACTTCTCCTTAACTTTTTTGTTAACAGTTCTGTTAGTATTATCTATATAAAATTTAATTCTTTTTTGTATGGAAGAAAAGGTACAAAATACATTTCCGTAGAATTATGTAAAAAAAAAATAATTAAAATTCATTTTTAAAAAAATGATATAATGTAATATTATGTAAATGATCATGTTATCTTGAAAAATTGATTTTCGAAAATTAATTTTATCATTTATATTTATCCCTTTTTAGACCATACTTTTTTTTCGAAAACGCTTTTTTTTGAAGATAATTAATTGTATCACTTAAATAAAACACCTTTTATATTATTATATAAAAATTATATATTATATTTATATCTACAATTTCGAAGTTATTCTTCATGATGGAAGATGCAAAATAAATTTAAAAAGTTTAATAGCCTGAAAAATTTAACTCTTATATTATTATATAAAAAGAATAATAATAGAGTTACAATTTCTTGTAAATTGTACAATTCGGAATATTTTCCGAATTTAACACCTTATATTTACTATATAAATTTACCTGCAAATAGAATTGATCTCGAGTATAATATAATCAGAGAGAAACGTGCAGAGCTCAACACACTGCAGCATACAGTTGCACATAGTTACATGACAAGCACACATAAATACACATTCTCAATTTTAAATTCAAAAAACTGTCCCTATCCTACTATTTCATATTAGATTTTGTAAAAGTGTTAGATGAACTTCAAGCGGTTCTACTGCTGAATACTGTTTGGCTGAATTTGGTTTCTGGTTGAGGGACTGGAAGCCATTCAAAAAAATTCAGAAGAAAAAGAAGAAAAAAATTCCGCAAGTTAAATACATCGAGCTTATTTTATTCATATTAGTTAAAGAGTTAGGCATCCTCTTAAGAAGAAATTATTTTTATAACCTCAAATTTGTATACGATAAAGTTTTATAAATATATTTAACAAATATGAAATAATTTATTTATACAAATATTTCCGATATTTTTAGATAATATAGTATCGAATGTAAGTAAAAAAGAAAGAATACCTTTGACAAAATCACGTTGCGTTTTTCTCGTAACTGCACTGAATAAACTCATGGATCGGAATTAGAATTACGTATCTAGATGGCATTAGTTTACATAATGTTCATTTCTATATTCTAAGTATTGTATTGTATTTTCATAGGGATAAAATCGCGCATGCGTACAAATTCGCGCCAATTGACTACCGAGTCTCCCTCTAGCGGTTGGTGACAGTCATCGTTGCTCTCGTGAATTCGCGATCATTCTCATTTCGCGATGTGTCGCGATGAGCGCTCCTGTTAAGAGTTGTTATTTACGTACCTTGGAAGGAACTCCGACGAATGTTTATCTGCCGGACAATACACCAATTTTCGTAGGACGTTCGCCAGAAACCGGCATCACAGATGTGAAATGCTCGCGACAACAAGGTCGCATAATTTTCTGAGTCCCTTTTTATTCGCATCGTTATTTACAAATTAAAGATAAGAGTTCGCTCCACGTGACTTTACGTTTGAATTTATGTAATTATTTTCGTTTATGTAAAAATTTTATTGACAGAATATGAATATAGTACAAGAATTTTGAATGACTTGTTCTTGATGCTAGATTGATTTTTTAAAAGAGTTCAATAAGTCTGCAGAGAGAGGTTAAGTTCAATTTTTTCAAAGTTTCAATTTTTATATTCAATAAAGCAATTCAAAATATGAATATTGTAACACATTGTCTTGCAGGATAAAATCAAGAAGTTTGTCTTTAAATTAACACAAAAATAAAAATTATAACAACTGATTAAATAGTGATAAAGTAGATAAAGTATTAATAATATAATTATTTTTTTTACATGGCAAATAATTTTGCTTAAGCCTTGCCTTAATTAATATCATAAAGAATTTAAATAAGTATTTTTATATGAGAGGCTTTTAAATGAATTATTAATTAAGATTTAAAATGAAAAATTTTAAACTGACGTTTACCTTATTTCATGATGTTTAGAATCGATAAGAAGGTTTTAGTACTGTTTTAAATTTCACATCTTTAACTGTCGTTTAACTTTTATATTATATTGCAATAATTATCACTTTATTTAATATTGGCAATAACCCGATATAGGTTGAAACATTTATTATTATATATGAGTTTTATTGTTTAAAATGTTTATTAATTTTAATATTAAATATTTAACTTTGGCTTGTACACCTTTAATTTATTTTGTTTTAAATGAAAAGATGTTAGAGTAAAGAAGGATTTAAAGAAATTTGAAGATTGCTTAATGCAATTTTATCCCTTTATTTTGCAAGTTGTTAGCATAAATGAATTACATTAAGCTGCTTTTAACAGTTCGACTATGTGCAAATTATACGGAGACTATCGTCACAGTTCAACAAATTGGCCCCCATGCCTGTGGTTTTAATGGCTTTAAAACTCAGAAGGATGTGAAATTTGTAGCCAAACACAATGATCGCTTGGAATTGCTCTATGGCAAGCATGCTTTCGAAATAGAGTTTAATCCACCTCCAAGTGTGAATAATTTTACATCGAGGAAGAGATTATATGAATCAGAAATAGAAGAAACTGAGGGCAAAACGAAAATGTTGAAATCAGATAATTGCTCCGATAATTACTCCGAAGAATCTGAGAATGACAGAGAAGAGGAACAGAGATCATCTTCGAATGGTATACATATTAATCAAAAAACATTCAGCACATCCTCTGGTTCTAGCACATCCTCTGAGCAGAGCACTGAAAGCTCAAATACATCTGCGAAGTGGGATAGTGTGGATAATGGAAAATTATTAATTTATACAGCATCATCTGTTCAAAACCGACCAAAAGTAATTTTAATTACAAGATTAATTTAATACATTCTTGAATAGTATAATCAATTAAAAAATACAGTGAATTTTAAATTTGTTACATATACATAGGCATTTGCATCAAAATAACAGCGAGAACTTAGTTGCGCACCTAATATATATATATATATATATATA